CTCTGCAAGAACAGGTAGTAAAACAGGGTTGGTCACATGATTGACCACTTTACAGCCATTATAAGTTATGTCATGGGCTCAATTGTGACAGTAACTCGAGGATTACCTGTATACCTACACCAACTAAGAGAAATATAGAATGAATGCACAGATCTTGATTTCATATATTTCTTCACCTTTAGTTAGAATGGATTAATTTATAACTAGTCTGGTTATAGATAATCTCGGTTAACATCTCCACTAGACGTACAATTAATCCAGTGTTGTTCTACCAGAACAGGGTTTCAAACAGGAATTCAGGTAGTCCTTGCTTACTAAACACAATTGGGACTGGCAACTCTGGCAGTAAGTGTGACAGTTGCTAAGAAAAAAAAATCATGTCATGAGGCTGGATGTCACTTCTGCTTCTGTGGTTAAGCAAATCGCTGTGGTTATTAAGCAAGACATCATGGGATTCTGAGTTGTGATTTCACATTTGCATTCTCAAATTGATTCTGTTCATTGGAAACTGGTTGTGAACCTCGCAAAAAGTGGCTGTCCAACTTTGTGACTGCCATATATGCAAGGATTGGTTGCAAAGCTGATTTTTTTTCTCAACTCTTGTAACTTTGAACAGTCACTGGCAAGGCAGTTGGTAAGTGAGGACTACTTGTATTGCTGACCTTGCTCTGTAGAAATCAGTATAATATTAAGGATAGTGCGTTTTGTGTTTATTTATGGGGATGATTTGATTGGCTGCCTGACTGTGATTTAACACAATTTTAAAAGCTAAAAAGGAAATAAACTTTATTTTTACATGATTAAAGATTGGCATATAACATTCAAAACCGAACTGCATAGCAAAATAAAATTCAGCATTGTATCTGAAGATGTTTTCCTAAATCAGGACAATTGAGCAATCAGTCAACAGTTTTGCTTTGTGCATTATAAAATTGCTCCTAGTGCTAGCTTTATATTAATGATACTATTTATGTTGTCCTACCCAATCACTTCAGAGAACATGCAACATGCTCTGCAATCTGATATAAAAAGAAGCGACTATTGTAAATAGCTCTTCGTTCTCAGGTTAAGCATCATCATAATTTCTTGCTGAAGTACCTCTATCTGGCTAGAACTGAGTTCTTGTGTGCAATTTCAGTGTAGTTTGCAGAAGATTCTTTTAGTGCAATCCTTCTTTGTTTTTGATTTGATTCCAGTTCATTTTGAGATGAATACATTCACAAAGTTAAAACAAGATGTGCACACCTTTATTCCCCTTCTAGACAGTAGAGCAGAGAGCCTATTTTTTGTGTTTCAGGAGGGGTTGCTGGCAATGGATGACATTAGGGCTATAAGTGAGTGAGGTTACCTCCCTCCTCTCTTTGCCCCAGTTGGTATAAGAGGAAAGAGGCAGATAATTCTTATCAGAAACTTGAATCGGTTGTTTTTACAGTTTCCGAATTTAGTCTGAAGGTTGCATTATGTCTGCTGCTCAATGGTTAGTGAATGTAACTATTTGAAAACTTCTGACTTCTCTTTTAATCTGTCATTTTCCATGGCACACATGTATGCAACTTCAGAGTTGAATTGGCATCTAGCTAGATCATTGTTATGGTGAGAAAGACCATCACAGAACCCATAACCGTATTGAGAGGCAAATAGACATGTTAATAACATAGTTTATTATTGCATCTTAAAAAAAAAAGCTAGAATATCTATGGAGAATCATCCATGTCCTGGATATCACAAAGGTGCTTTTCAAAAGGCACTCCCCCCCCCCACTTGAAAACGTTTCGCTTCTCATCCTTGAAAGCATTTCTTGGATGAGAAGCGGAAACATTTGAAAAGAGTAAGGTTCTACATTTAGGCAACAAAAACGAAATGCACACGTACAGTATAGGTGGTACCTTGCTCAATAGTAGTAACTGTGAAAGGGATCTTGGAGTCCTAGTGGACAACCATTTAAATATGAGCCAGCAGTGTGCAGCAGCTGCCAAAAAAGCCAACACAGTTCTAGGCTGCATAAACAGAGGGATAGAATCAAGATCACGTGAAGTGTTAATACCACTTTATAATGCCTTGGTAAGGCCACACTTGGAATACTGCATTCAGTTTTGGTCTCCACAATGTAGAAAAGATGTGGAGACTCTAGAAAGGGTGCAGAGAAGAGCAAAAAAGATGATTAGGGGACTGGAGACTAAAACATATGAAGAACGGTTGCAGGAACTGGGTATGTCTAGTTTAATGAAAAGAAGGACTAGGGGAGACATGATAGCAGTGTTCCAATATCTCAGGGGTTGCCACAAAGAAGAGGGAGTCAAACTATTCTCCAAGGCACCTGAGGGTAGAACAAGAAGCAATGGGTGGAAACTAATCAAGGAGAGAAGCAACTTAGAACTGAGGAGAAATTTCCTGACAGTTAAAACAATCAGTGGAACAGCTTGCCTCCAGAAGTTATGAATGCCCCAACGCTGGGAGTCTTTAAGAAGATGTTGGATAGCCATTTGTCTGAAACGGTATAGGGTTTCCTGCCTAGGCAGGGGATTGGACTAGAAGGCCTCCAACGTCCCTTCCAACTCTGCTATTGCTATTGTATTTTCAAGAAAAAAAAACAAAGTCCCATTGCCTTTTGAAAAGCACCTTTAGAATAAGCTGTACCAGGGTATATCAAGAGCAAAATATATATATATATATATTATTTACCTTCACCTCAAGATCCAGCTAGTTACATCCAACGTATCTACATATTGATAAGGAAGGTACATTGTACTGGCACTAATGGGCATTTCCTAATATGGCAAATAGCAGGGATGGTAGAGTTAATTTCTCATTGAGTTAGAAGTGCACTCACCATGTTCTGACCCAGATCTAGCTATGCACTGGCTTTTCTTTAAAAAATGGCATAGGACAAATATGTCTACTATGATCGTTATTGTAGTGCTAGAGGGTGGTAGCTAATTAGGATTCAGCTAATGGATCTATCAGCTCCATTCTCTATGTGTGAGTGAGCTAAAAAAAATGGAACAAAGTTGGGTGAGAAATTTCAAACCATTTCAAACCCACACACGGAGAACTTGGTATGCTTGTTTGACAGGAGCTCCCTCTGTATTGTGAGAATGGTTATTACCAGGGAAGGTTTTTTCTTTCTTTACCTGCTGTCTAGATGCTGCACAGACACTTGCTTTCACAAAGGATCAGAGTGAGGATAATCCAAGTCAAGATCGGCTGAAGGTAAACCCATTGCTGGGTGGTTTCTTTTGTCGTACAGAGTGTCCCTTCTCTGTACCTGTGCAAAGTGGATTGCTAGAACTTCTGACTTATTTACTGATGAGTCTTTGCCTTCTTCAGAAGTTCTTGGGACTCCACAGAGCAGGGACAGAGTTCTCATTCTCTGTTCTCTACCTACAGAGTTCCAGTCTCTGAACATGTTCTCTGGGATGTAGCATTTCTTTTCCTTAGTCACACCAGCTTTCACTGGGTGGGAGTTTTTTTATTTATTTATCAGAGACTGATAAATATTATTTCTTCATGAAAACTCACAATACCTGAAAACCTTAGGAGAATCAAGATGATTTCTCATACTGTTGTTGAATCAGTATTGTCCACCTCAAGAGAGAAAGCTACCTAAGTTGATACAGAGATAAGCTTGACAGCATTCCTTTGCAGTTTTATGGAAACATTTATCCTATTGTAGCTGTATTGTAATATGTTCTGTGTATGTTTGTGTGTGTGTGTGTATACACATGTGCACACGCAACAAGTTCATAGGCAGCCTGGAATCTTCCAAAAGTTTTGGGCTACAAGTCCCATGAGAGTTGTAGTGAAAGACTTAGGGAACCATCAGGTTGTCTATCTGCATCTATTTGATCTTTAGCAAATGTCTTGATCAGTTAATAAATGCAATTTTTTGTTAAGTCTTATTTCTACTGTAACTCTGATGGTATTTGAACTGTATGTGACTGTTGGTCTTAAGCTGGTGACTAAGAAAGGAAGTGTTACATCCCTGTGCTTCTGTCATAGATCTTAACTAATAGTTATTTTCCCTTTTTCCTTTAAGCAGAATAACAGAGAGAGCAGTTTCAGCACTGAACAGGAAGACCATGAAGGTGATTTATCTTCCTTAAACCATACATACCATATAAACAAGGAGAAAGAAGGTAAATATGGCCTCTCAATTAGACATGATTAAATTGCTTTGACTATTAGACCTATTGTTTATCTAATGAATCTTGTAGAATATGTACATACTGTGTTGTTTTTGTTGAACCTGTGAGTACTATGTGGTTTTCCTTTTTTAAAAAACTATTATTATTTCTTCTTAATACAGTTAGATATTCAGAAGTATTTTTTAGAAAATATTTTATTTCTTTCTCATGTGAATACACAAATTAGGTAATATTCAAGTAGTCAATTTAATTTGTGAAAATTGCACATATAAATAAAATGTCAAAGGGGAATGCTGTTTTCATAGCTATTTCATGTAGCTTTTAGAATAGTCTCACAAGATAGTGATAACTTCTTAAGATATTACAAATTTATTGTTGATTTCTTAGAAAAACTCATGTTTCTGCTTTCTCAAGTTAGATTTAAACTCTTATCATTAAATATTATACAATATATGAACAGAAGTGAACACAAAGAGCTTTTTGCTTATAATGTGTCTTGGAGGAAATAGAAATATATACAGGTAGTCCTTGACTTAACAACCATTTGCTTAATGACGGTTCTAAGTTATAGTGGCCTCAGAAAAAGTGGTTTATGACTTGTCCTTCCAATTACTACTATCACATCAGCTCAATCAAATGATCACAATTCAGATATTTGTGAATAGGATTACATTTACAACAGGTTGCAGTATCCTGTGGTCAGCTGATCACCATTTGCAATTTTCCCAGGCAGTTTCTGACAAGAAATGTCAATTTGGGAAGCTGGATTAGTTTAGTGGTAAAAATAGTCATAAAATTGAATCCAGTCATGTGATGACTCGCTTTACAACCACACTGACTTAAGACAAAAATTCTGGCCCCTAATGTGGTTGCAGATTGAGGACTACTGGTAATTCACACAGATGAATATACATGGATATAATGTTAGAGTAAGTTGCATCCAAGTGATCCGGTTTGCCAGTTAATTTCACAAGCAAAGTTATTTTATATTAAATGTCTTTTCACTTTTGAAGATGGTGTACTGATAGATAACCTTTCAAAAGAGCAAACCACATTGGATTTGTTGGTTGAAGAATGGGATGTAGCTGGCCTTCCATGGTGGTTTTTAGGGAATCTGAGAAACAATTACAAGTCCAGAAGCAATGATTCAACAGATATACATACAAATAAGGTAAACATTAGCAAGTAGTATGATGTATATGCACAAACCTGTATATCTTAGCCTGATTTCATTATTTTATTAAAAATGGAAAGGATTCTTATTCTCAAAGTGGTCTTTGACATTTTTGGTTGCTGTGTTGAGGCTGAAAAATAACACAACAATCATAGATACTGGCCTTAGTCTAAACAAATACCAGCACATTAGATAACCTTAGGGAACAACTGAAATATACCATGACCACGGAACTGGGAGAGAGAGAATGGTTGGCCCAAGGTC